AGCCCCGTGGCCGGGAGGCGCTGTCGGCCAGCGCGGCGAGCGCAGCTCAGCGCCCGGCGGATGCGCGGCGGGCTTGGGGTGCCGCGCGGTAGCGCACCCTCCTGCGCCCCAGCGGCCGCGGGCTTGCTGCAGGTAACCGACTCTTCCACCTCGCCCACTCCATACCGGCAGCCTCGATCTCCTGCTATGGCGCCCGGCGGCGGGTGGAGGGATGGGAAGGATGTGAGGGAGGGAGCCGGCTCTCACCCCGGGCGGGGTGGGCTCTCGGGAAGAGGAAGCGGAGCCGGGGCCGGAGGGAGCGGACGCGCGGTGGGAGTGAGGCGGGCGCGTGTGCACGCGGGACGCCTTCCCTGCGCCTTACTCCTGGTCCGATCCGTGGAACCCGGGGAGAGGACTCCGGTGCCCGCTGTCACCTGGAAGCCACTTTTTCCTGCCTTCTTTCCCCCCTGATCCGGGTAGCGGGTAGGAGCTGAGAAATCGGAGTTGGCTGCAGCCGAGGGTAGGCAGAGAGCGAACAGTTAAGTAAGTCGCCGCCGTCCCTTGGGTGCCAGCAGCTCTAACTTGATTTAATGTTCCCCGTAGCCCTGCGAAGAGGCATCATTACCCCCCCGTTTTACTGATGAGGGTGCCCACACCGGGATGAGAAATGACTCGCCCTGGGGCAAGCCACTGGAAAGGAGACGCCAGTGGGGGACTCGGAAGCCCCCACGCTTCTCCCTCTTCTCCTGCTCCCTCTCTGTCCATCGCGCGCGGATCTAGGAAACTCGCGCTGCTGGGTCTGTTAGGGAAACAGGTGATTCTGAAACACATTCTAGCCCCCCTCCTAGGCTTTTGGGGTATTTGGGGGGGGGGAGTTGTTTTGTTTGGTTGGTTTGTGTTTTGTCACCTTTTTAGCACCCAGTTTCTGATTCCTTTCTTCCAGTTTTTGGTTATTAGCTTTTTGAGGTGGAAGGATCCTCGCTCACAGCTTTTTCTCCTTGCAGCGCTTTCTTTCGATGCAGAACGAGCCCCAGGCACCCCAGCAGGCCGCACGCTTCTCTTTCGCGGTGGATGAGGTCGCCTGCAGATCCAGGCTGGGCCTTATGGGCTGCCCAGGCGGAGGTGAGTTTTGTGGTCACCTGGCAACCTCGGCGCCTTTTGCTTTCTTTCTTTCTAGAGGGAAGAGGGTCTTCGTTTTAAAAATAGTAAGACAAGAGGCCAACTTGGAAGGATATGCGGGGTTGGCAGAAAGCAGTGGTTCCTAGCGATGAGAACAGGCTACAGGATTGTGTGGCCTGAATTTGGTGAGTGGTAGGTGAGGCACCCAGTCGGGGACTGGTCCCCTGCTCTGGGCATTCTGTCCCCCTTTCAGAGCTGTTCTGAAAGGCAGATTTGTTTTGGAAGGGAGGGGGAGGGGCGAATGGGTTTTAGAGATCAGTGTAAATTACCTGCTAGGAGCCCAGGCAGTTCCAGACAGGCTCCCCTGCCGGGGAACATGGTAACAGATTTCACTTGTGGCAAAAAAGAAGAAACACTGAGCTCTATGGATATCTGCTCTGGCTTAATGGACTTTCCCCCCAACACGTTCAGGATGGTAGTTTCGGGGAAACTTTGAGTTCTTAGAAAGGGCGAACTCTTCAATTTTAAAAGAACAATGTAATAAACTGTGTGTTTACTTTTACAAAGTTTTTATTGGTAAGTGGAAGGAGTTGAGTGTTCGATTTCATGGTGAGGGTTTGAAGGTTGCCTCCAGGTTGTTCTTCGGTGACTGGCTCTGGGAAGGACCTCCTTAGCCTGGGCCCCAAATCTGTAGTGGGTTTCATCCTCCTTTAATTATAATTCATCCTTGACTGATTATAATACTACTTCCAACCACGAGTTGTTTTTTTTCCATTTGTAACTTAGTTGCTTAACACTAAGAGAAATGTTGTCCCTGAGAACTTTCCACTATGTACAAAATCACCTATGTGTAGGGACTGAACGATGATGCACGGGGGGAGTTAAGGGGGCCTTGGTTAGTCGCAGGTGACCTATAGTGGACCTGCTAAAAAAAAAAAATCTGTGTGGTGTGGGTATTGACTGTTCCCTACCCGTAACCATGCAGGGATTCTGGCCCAGTGTGACCAAACCTTTCTGCCCACCCGTCAATAGCTGAGAAATCTTCATTAAAAAAAACAATTGTCTTTAATGTTTTTTTATTTTTGAGAGACAGAGTGCAAGTGGGGAGGGCAGAGAGGAGACACAGAATCCGAAGCTGGCTCAAGGCTCTGAGCGGTCAGCACAGAGCCCCAAGTGGGGCTGGAACCCACGAACTGTGAGATCATGACCCAAGCCAAAGTCGCCCAACCAACTGAACCACTCAGGCGCCCCTTCATTTTTTTTTTTTTTTTAAGTGAAACCTGATTTACATATTGGCTCTTTTTTTTCTTTTTTAAAACCCAAGAAATCAAGTCAAATTTGGTTCATGCATCATTCATTGTTAGATCTTAGAAACTGCTCTACCTGGTGATTGCGTTCTCCGGTGAATGAAAAATTCTGACCTATGATGGTATTGTGCATTTGCTGCGGAGTGAGGTGGTGTGAAACAGATGAACACTGTTGAAAAGGATTTCTTCTGATTCTGTGTCTGTTTTCTATGAAGTATGGGGGTACTTCAGCTGCACTGAGTTAAGGAGTCTTTTATGGGCCAACCAAGGAATTGTGTCACTATTTGTAAGAGTCATTCTAATGAAAATTTATTCATGGTTCTAGTTCAGAATGTCAAATGCCTAACTCCCCCTGACTTATAAGAGGAGTTCCCAAATGACTGTTCATATAAATCATGTGTGTTTCTCTTGGGGGCCTATCTGTATTCTTTTTTTTTTTTTTTTTTTTTTTTTAATGTTTATTTATTTTTGAGAGAGAGAGAGAGAGAGACAGGATGGGTGGGAGGAGGCTGGGGACGAAGGGGGCAGAGAGAGAGGGAGACACAGAATCCGAAGCAGGCTCCAGGCTCTGAGCTGTCAGCACAGAGCCCGAGGTGGGGCTTGAACTCATGGCCCGGACCGTGAGATCATGACCTGAGCTGAAGTCGGAAGCTCAACCGACTAAGCCACCCAGGTGCCCCGCTTATCTGTATTCTTAACCACATTGGCTTTGGATGCCTGGCTTAGGGTTGTCGTGCTTCCTTGCTGCCCATCTGTGGCAAATGCTATGGCTGTTTAGAACAGTGTTTCTCAAATTTGACATTTTTTGGCCAGTTAAGCTTTTGTTGTGGAGATTGTACTGTGCATTGTGAGATGTGCACCAGCCCCCCTGGTACCACCCTCTGGATGCCGACAGGCTCCTCCCTACAGTTACCACAATCTGAACGACTCCAGAGGTTGCCACATGTCCCCTGGAGGACAAAGTTGCCTGGTTGAGGAAAAGAATGAGCCAGTTTTGGAAGTGCTGTAGCACTTAGGAACTAGGCTATAAATACAATTAACTTTTAAGCTTCTAGTGACTAGAGAAGCTATGTGTAATGTTTAAACAAACATCTGCATTTTAAAATATTCTTATAATAACAGTGACTAAACTGGTGTTCTTGGTGAACAGCCACACGTGTCCTGCCAGGATTTGTCTCCAAGGAAGGCTTAAGTGCAGTTGTTAAGTCTGTAAAGTTTAAACTCGTGAGTTCCACACCATCAGCACGGGGCTCTAACTTAAGGAACCATGAGATGGGACCTGAGCCGAAATCAAGAGTTGGAGACTTAACCAACTGGGCCACCCAGGCGCCCCATGTCTTTTAATTTTTTTAAGGTGATAAGATGTCAATGAACCACGCTTGTTGATTTGGAAATTGACCCAATCCCTAATAGAACTCCCAAGAAAAAATTCTACACAAGAATTTTAATAACGAGACTTACTGTAGATCGTGTTCAGAGGAGAATTTAGTTTTAGGAAACATTAAAAGCTTTTAGCTAACAGCAATAACAAAGACAACCATATATTTCTGTAGTCTGAGAATTTTTTTTTCCCTTGTGTTTATTTTTGAGAGACAGAGCATGAGCGGAGCAAGGGCAGAGAGAGAGGGAGAGAGCGGAATAGGGTGGTGAAACCATTTATGGTGTTCGAGAACCCCGGAGGGGAGCAGGTTGGCATGAGGCTGGGAGGGAAGGGAGTTCCATTCAGACGGGTTTTGCTTGTGAGACATCCCACTGGGGACAAGGAATTGGCATCTGGAACTCATGAAAGAGATGGGCTGCGGGGCACCTGGTGGCTCCATCAGTTGAGCGTCCAACTCTTGATTTCAGCTCAGGTCATGATCCCAGGGTCATACATGTTGGCAGCTGTGCATGTAAATATTCACTGTATATAAGAAAGATCATTTGAGGAGGGGTATGGGATGGCAAGAGGAGGCACTGACCTGGAGAGGAAAACCAAAACAGACATAGAGGACAGGGAGGAAATATGGGGACTGTGGGTGTTTCTTTCTTTCTTTCTTTCTTTCTTTCTTTCTTTCTTTCTTTCTTTCTTTCTCTTCCCTCCCTCCCCTCCCTCCCTCCCTCCCTCCCTTCTTTCCTTCTTCCTTCCTTCCTTCCATTTTCCACTAGTGATTGGAGAGACTCAAACAAGTTCTGAGGTTGCTGGCAAGTTCCTGATGGAGAGGGAGAGGCCAAAGATGCGGGAGTGAGAAATACTTGAGGAATGAGCGGGCCAGGTTTCAGAGAAGGCAAAAAGCTCTTCGATTCCATTACACAGGTTGGGGGATTGGTCTTTGATGGAAGGAGGGAGGGAGAGGTTGGATAAGGGGCCTCAGATTTGAGCTCTCTGAAGGAGGAGGCAAAACCTGCTGAGTAGGGAGTGTTTGTGTGTGAAGCCAGATATTCCGTCAGCCAGTATTTATCAAGAATTTTCCAGTGCCCCACATTGTGGTAGGGTCCTTGGACAGTATTGTAAATAATGTTGATTGCCACTGTGCTTAGCCCTGACAGAATAAGAAACACGTGTTTGGTCTTTGTCCTTGGTTCCTGACCGAGCTCTGAAGCCCTTGGAATTTCCTGAGAGATTGGGAGGAGAGGAATGTCTTTTGTTATTCATAGAAGCTTTTCTCCATACCTGAGTTTATGCTCCTGAGGTAGCTTAGGCGTCGGGGCACCTAGGTGGCCTTTGAGGTAGCTTAGGCGTGGGGGCACCTAGGTGGCCTTTGAGGTAGCTTAGGCGTGGGGGCACCTAGGTGGCCT